TGCAGAAAAGGCTGAAGTACTCAGTGCCTGTTTTGCCTCCATCTTCACAGGCAAGGTCAGCTCCCAGATTACTGTACAATGTAGCACAGTTTGAGGAGGATGTGAGCAGCCCTCAGTGGTAAAAGAACAGGTTACCCACTGCTTAGAAAACCTGGATGTGTACAAGTCCATGTGGCCTGATGAGATGCACCTGAGGATGCTGAGGCTGATGTGATTGCAGAACCAGTGGCCATCATTTTTGAAAACTCATGGCAATCAGGAGAGGTCCCGGATAATTGGAAAAAGCCAAACATTGTGCCCATATATAAGAAAGGGAAAAAGGAGGCTCAATCCCATGTTCTCTGCTGCAGTAAATGTCTCTCTTGTGTGTACATGTGCAGCCCTATTAGGCATCAGTAAACTAATAAACTCCACAGCAGGGTCGTACTTGTAAATACAAATACTATTCTGCTGCAGAGTTTTTTTACTCTACAGCATTACATGTGTAGATGCTGAAGCAGCTGCCTGGGACGTGTGAGTGCTTCAGTCCAGGGGCTGCCTGCCAGGTAGCCCAGCACTGAAGCACTTTTTTTGCCTCAGTTAGCCTCTCCACAGCATGTTGAGCCAGGGGAGGGAACAGCCCTGGGCTGGTAGACTGATCCTTGGGGCTCCCTGGCAGCTGGGGCTGTTCTAGCCTGGCTCAATGTGTTGTGGTCCCAGGCACACATGTAAATGCAGCACCTGGGAGCAATAAACTCCAGGGCAATATGCATCAGAATTTATTGTGTCACATTAATATGCACTTGTAGATGCACCCAATGGCTACAATATTATTTTAAAAGGTTCAAAATGGCCAAAAAAAAGATGACTGCCCAGAGCCATAACACAATTCAAGCCTCTTTTATCACTTTTACATTTATCATATATTTGTGAATTTATTCGGACCCCATTTATCATTTTACATTTTAATGCTCTAACTGTAGATACTGGTAGATTTAATTTAGGAGAATACTTGTTTAAGTGAGAACATGAAGTTGTGAATCTATATATAAAAAAGCTGCAAACTCCTAAATCCACCCCAAGGAAATAGTAAGGAATCATTTAGAATTATAATATAAAGGTAGAGACTTAGAATCATTCTACAATATCATTTTTATAGTTCTTAAAAATATATAATAATACTAGAGTTGTTTTTTTGTAAGTGAGTTTGAGTGAGGAGAGAAACAAAGAGGGATTACTATATTCTTTTTTGCCTCTTGGGCATAAGATACTCTGTGAGGTTGAACAGCTGATCCACCAGTGATGGTTCTTAATGGACCTGCTGCAGGTGCTGAATTAACTCATAGGTTATCTAGACACAATATTGCATTGATGAATTCAAAAGAAGGAATACAAATACTGCTATGCCAATAAAGTCAAAAGCTGGTCTCCTGTATCTCCTGCCAACCAACTGAATCTTTCTCTGTGTGAAAAATAAGCCCCAGGAAGTGTGAAATTAGCAAGAGGGCATGCAGTTTAACCAAGCAACATATTTATAAGTGTTTAATATTCAGCAGCAGATCAACAGCTATACCTAGTCTTCCAATATGTAGTTGTGAGGGCAAGGAGTAGACACAAGCCAGCTGCAAACAAGTTCTAAGTGATTTGCCCATGGCTATGCAATGAGTAAGTGGCAGAGGCATGAACTATATCCACACCCTGCAGGTTCCAGTCTAGTGCCGTAGGGAGTCTATACACAAGTGCTGAGGTTGTTCCAATGCACTGGAATTCCAGCATGTCAGAGCAGATTATTGGCTGAGTCTGCTGGAGCGTTACAATTGCTGTGCTCCAGCAGCCTCCTACATCTCCGAGCATCATAGCCCAGCCTCTAGCATGGATTTTTGAAAACTCTTGGCGCTCTGGTGTAGTGCCCGAAGACTGGAAGAAGGCCAATGTGGTGCCTATCTTCAAGAAAGGGAGCAAAGTGGATCCGGCTAACTATAGGCCCATCAGCCTGACTTCTATCCCAGGGAAGATCTTAGAAAAGTTTATTAAAGAGGCCATCCTTAACGGACTGGCCGACGCCAACATCTTAAGGGATAGTCAGCACGGGTTTGTTGCGGGTAGGTCTTGCTTGACCAATCTCATTTCCTTCTACGACCAGGTGACCTATCACCTGGACAAGGGAGAAGAGATTGATGTCATATATCTTGACTTCAAACAAGCCTTCGATCTGGTGTCCCATGATCGCCTCTTGGAGAAACTGGCCAATCGTCGCCTTGGGTCCTCCACGATCCACTGGCTGGAAAATTGGCTCCGGGGTCGGACCCAGAGGGTAGTAATTGATGGAAGTCACTCATTGTGGTGTCCTGTGACCAGTGGGGTACCCCAAGGCTCTGTCCTTGGACCCATACTGTTCAACATCTTCATTAATGATGCGGACACGGGAGTCAGAAGCGGACTGGCCAAGTTCGCCGATGACACCAAACTTT